GTGTGTGGTGTGGTGTGGTGCTGCCCTGTGGGGTTCGTGCTTCCAGGTCACTCGGATCATGGCTTTTGATTGCGGTAGTGAGATGCTCTTGGAAGTTAGTTTTTGAGCAATGTAAAAGGCGCCGATTAATTTGTAAAAGAAGAAAGACTTTCTGTCTGACTTGTTTTGCTGCTGTCAGTTGACGGTCAGTTGGTGAAACGTAAGCCAGAGCTTTCCTTGTTCTCGGTTAGTAAAATAATTGTTGGCGCTTAGACGCTCTGAACCAGTCCTTTGGACAGGGCTCATCTTCCCTGCAGTTAGCCTGTGCTGCTATGTGGGCTTTCACTCTGACGCTGGCTGCTTTACCCACAGGCTTTCTGTCTCAGCTCAGGTAAAATATAATCTGTATGGCTTGTATGTAGCTGCCAGGTTTATTGTGCTCGCACACCAATATTAGAAGGAATTCTGGGATCACACCCCAGGTCTGTCAGTCTGTCTAGCGTGAACCTGTCCTGAGCTACTCCCAGGGAGGGAATCGGGAAGCTGCTGTGTTTTCCTTAGCACTGAAAAACCTGGATGCATCAGGTAAAAGACACCAGCAAGCACAGATTTTGTGAATATAACTTGAATAAGTTCACGCACAGTGCCTCAGCTGCTGGAGTTGTATTTTGTGGCTTCTCTGCTAGAGCTGCTCAGATGCGGGTACGGTATTAGCGTGAATATGGTTTATTCTTGCCTTCCTGATAGTGTATCATAGGAGACTATCTACTACAGACTGCTATCTATTATGCTACTATCAGTCACACTGGTACATAAGCAGCAGTATCAAGCAGTCTCAGGCAGTTAAAAATTGCTCTTAATGAGAATGTTGAATCACATTGATATTTTCATGTATAGCTTTGAAATAAAATGGGAAAAGTGTTAGCTGCTTTATGTGCAGTACAGCTGGAAAATAACATGCTTACAGCAGTGATATAGGGAGAGTGGGTTAAACAGAAAGCTTTTAACTGTCCTCCTTGTGTTCAGTAAATAATGTTTAATGCCAGTTAATATCTTACTCTTGCTTTCAACTATGCCTGTCTTGTCTGTGGTGCTGGAAAAATATTTTAGCTTTTCTTTCCTGAATGTACCTTTTACTTAGAACTAATGTTACCTTGCTCTTTTTCTGCTTCCCGCTTGTCAGGATTTGGTGGGCTTGAAACTACAAACTCCACTGCCAGTGGGTTTAATTTTGGGGGTTTCGGATTAACTGCTAATCCTGCAGTGAATTTTAATATTGGGAATTTCGGTGTTTCCACTACCTCAACTCCACCATTCAATTTTGGTAACAGTCTGGCAAGTGCAGGTAGATAACGCATTGATACTTGTTCTGTAATGAATGTTAATAGCAGGGGTCCAAGAATTACATTCCTAATTGAGAATCCATGTTTAGGACTAATCTTCTTACTTGGTATCCAGGGAAGACTGGAGGTGAAGGCTCTGGAAGTGGAATGGGTTAGAGAGCCATAGGCTTTCTAGGGATTTTTGCCTATTAAATTATCAAGAAATAGCTGTTGAGGAAAAATAACCACGTACCAAATACTCAGTCTCTGAGATGGAAATGAATTGTGGTAACCTGCCAGTCTGACCCGGTCTAAAATTGAAGCCCGATTACCTAACAAGACGGCAAGCTCAATTCTCCGTTCAGATCCAGGCAATTGTGAACAATGGCAGAACTGGTCCCTAACGCCACCTTTCCTGACATGAGATTCTTGGACTACTGCAGTCATCTTTTTCATCTTCGCCTGTGTCTCCTCATTGGCCTTCCGTTGGTTGTCACGACCGCACTACACCTCAGCAGTTTCTGTGGAGAAACAAATTGTATACGATCAGCACAAAATGAACAGCCCTCGCAGCGATCTGTTTGCTAAACGCCGTGCTGCGCCCTGGAATGGCACGCACACATCCCAGGCTGTCGTTACGAGATTCTCTGTGTTTCTGGGAGGGTCTTCTGCGTGATGTGTGCGCTGCGTGTTGCTTAAGAAAACCCTTCCTGGCCCCTGTAGATCCATCAGTTCCGAGCAATCAGCTGATATAATTTCAAGTTAAATCTTCTCCATTTTGTATAAAAATGTTTAACTGTATGGCCTTCTAATGCTCTTACTCGTGTAGAATTAGCCCCTGGGGTCTTGTTGCCGCTGCTCGTATAGGAATTATATTCATTCCACACTGTCATTGCTCCCTGTGTTAGCATACTCTTATCTGTCTTGTGCACTCAAGGGATCTGATTTCATTTTTATTTGGTATGAACGTTATTGCACTGTATTTCTATAGCTGAATTTTAACTACTCCAAAAGAGAGCTTGCGTACTTAATTTTGTTCAGCAGTTTGCACTCTTAGATCCTTTTTCAAGGAAGGATGATAAAATTGCTGTGAATACAAAAATACCTAAAAATTGTGTCATCTGATGGTATTCAGTCCCAGTAGGGTTTCTCACTCTGGTAGGACTGAAACTCCAATGTTACAGGGAACAATTCTTATATCCACTTCCCTTAAGATGTTTGCCAAATTGTAATAAAATGCAATTGCATGTCAGCTTTGGTTTAATATTTTGATTTTGTGTGCATACAAGAGGACAGTAGGTGTAGTAGGTCTATGGAATTTTTTTTTTTTTTTTTTTTTTTTTTTTTGCTGTTGACATGTGAGTTAGCAGTGGCAGCTTCTTTTTGACAAATCCTCTGTAGTAGACACTGTTTCTTCATTTGAACACATGTGAAAACGGCTTGAAACAGAGAGACTTGGTTCTCTGGTTCTCCAGGGCTAGTCAGGCGTCCCCGGGCTGCAACTTGGGCCAGATGGCAAATGGGAAGGTGGGTTTCTTGGGGCTCTCTCTGGCACAGTGGAGCTCAGGCTCTCACTCAGGTCTCCTCCCAGCCCCCAACTAGCCACTGATTTTCCTGAAAAACTGTGCAAGACTGATGGCTTTTGCATCCATCTTCCTCTGATAGTGATTGAACCTCAACACGAGATTTAATGGGGAGGCTGTCAGGTGCCAGGGTTAAAAAAAGACCTTGTAGAATTTTACCTGTGTGTGGAAAGAAATGGTTGCTGTAACAGCATTCCTGTGTAGGCATAGCAATTGTGTGCACCCTAGCCTCAGGCTTTACTTGATTTATTGTTTGATGTATTATTTACTTGGTTTATTATTTGATTTATTTCTGTTTTTGCTCTTAAGAGGTTAGGAATGTTTACAAAGCTCAGGAAACGTCAGATCATTTATTAAACACTCAGTGGCAACGTTGACTAGCAATATACTTGAGAATGAATCTAAGAAATACTATTACTAGTTGTGTTTGTCAGTAAGGAAAGCACATCCTGCTGGTAAGGAGGGAGAATGTTAGTTAACTGCTGCTTTTTTATTTGTTTTCTTGACACGCCATAGGTACATTGGCTTTCTGGTTCATGTTTTCTCCCCTGTTTCCTCAGACAATGAGCTCAATACCCATGATCAATGTGACCTACATGCTGGTAACATAACACATCCATCTGTCAACATCTCATGACACCTGTTGAAGTGTGCAGTTTGTTGTTGTGTTATGCACTGCTGCTGCTCCTGTGCCGTCTGCCTTACTTGCAAATTTTGTTTGTTAGGTGCGTTTGGAGGATTTGGGACAACTACCACCACTGCAGGACCAACATTTAGTTTTTCTGCTCCCACCAATACAGGCACCAGTGGTAAGAGAGCACAAGTCTGAAAGTATTTGCTTTAGAATGAACTGTAGGGCATCAGCCCTTCAAAATTAGTGTTTTGCATTTCACAGGTGCTATTACCTCTTTTTCTCAATAATTCTTTGATTATTTCCCCAGGACTCTTTGGTGCTACCCAGAACAAAGGCTTTGGATTTGGTACTAGTTTTGGCACAGGAACTGGAACTGGTTTGGGTACGGGGTTGGGAACTGGGCTAGGCTTTGGAGGCTTCGGTACCCAGCAGCAACAGACCAGTAAGTATGGCCTTCTCTTGATTTACCCCTTTGTTAGCAGTAAAAGCATAAGACTGCAACAGATGTACAAGTAGTGGGACAGAAGTATATTATAAAATCACTTAATCTCTTTGATTGATGGAGACTTCTCAGAAATTCGATTTTTGAAGCCTACATTTGCAGTCCTTGCTTTTTTTCTTAAACAAGAGCTCAGGCAAGTTTCTGAGCTCACCCCTGAGTTTCTGACAACAACATTCACCCCTGGTTCATAGTTACAGAATTGATGGTGGCAGTTATGGCATTACTAGAAAGGGGAGGACAACAGTGTTGAGTTTAGTTAGTGTAACTTGGATAACAACCAGAGGCAGGCTCTGAGTCCGCTGAGTTTATAATAACAAATCTACCCTTCAGATTTAGATGTTGTCAGTGCCAGATGGTGCCATGGGTGAATACAGACGTCTCATTCAAAGAAGAGAGAATAAATCTTTTCTTCTGACTTGGCATTCAGGAACTTCTGTTGCTGTTGATGATTGGGTGTAACAAGATACTTCTAAAAACATATCTGACATTGATTAACTTATTTTGTGGATTTATTTTGCTTCTCGAAATGTGAAAATAAGTTATACCATTGATATGCAGATGATACGCGTTAGCAAGTGAGTTTGTCTTTGTTGGTAAAGGAGTTAATTTGTTTTTCTTGATCCAACATAGCATTAGGAAGTGGCTTGTTCAGCCAGCCTGCTCAGACACCTGCCCAGTCGAACCAGCTCATCAATACAGCCAGTGCCCTCTCAGCTCCAACACTCTTAGGAGATGAGAGAGATGCTATTTTGGCCAAATGGAACCAACTTCAGGCCTTCTGGGGAACAGGCAAAGGGTATTTCAACAATAACATCGCTCCAGTGGAGTTCACGCAGGAAAACCCCTTCTGCAGGTTTAAGGTATGGAATTGTTCACCTGCCCACACACAGTTCTGAAGCAGTTACTCTGCTTGCTAGTTCTGTGCCTCAGTGTCTCCTGAGTGTTAAATCCGAATTAGTGACTGTTAAAAGTAATCTGAAACAGTATTTTTTCAAGTAACGTACACAATTCTGATGCATGCTAATTAAAAGGCTTGAAGACTTATAGATGCTAGAAGTCTGCGTATTGATAATGAGTGCCTGTGTAGATATGAAAGTAATTGTTTTCCATTATAGCATTCAGATTAGTGTGTGTACAGCTGGAGCAGGTCTCTGGAACTGAATTGTGATGTGTATTTGTTTAGGTTACAATATTACAGAAACTATTTAAAATAACCTTCATGTATGAAAAAATCTGTTAACATCTGGAATAAGAACGTCTGCGCCTTTATTGCTTTGCCTATGTTAGAAAAACCCTTTATGAGCCTGGCCCTTGAGTACCATTTTAAATACACCAGCCTTCAGATTTCTTCTGCCTTTATCCTAGCCAGTGCTAAAGCTGACTCTATTCCTTACTGATATTGTCAGCAGTTCCAGATCTTGCTTCTCATATATCGACAAAGAATATGTAGCTCTTCATCCTCTGCAAATCTTGTGCTTACTGACTTTCTTGCTGATCTTCAGGCTTGTCAGTGGATTTGGGTCAGGCGTGGCGATACCCTCCTTTTCCAAGCTGATTCTTTGAAGTGCAAACTTTAACCTGAATATAGGTTAAGACTTAATTAAGATGAGTTTTGATCATGCACGTCATGACACTTCTGTGAAATCTTTGCAGCAACTGAGTGCCTGCATAACACATGTTTGTCTTCTATTGCGTTAACCTTTTAGGTGTTACTTTGAATATTTTGATAATGCACCTGAAATCTTACTTTCTTGTAAGTTGTTGCCTGAAATGGCTTTAGAGTTTTCTGGGCTTTCAAAAATTGCAAAATATAAGTTATGTGATGCAAAATCAGTTATTTTTGAGTTTCATTTGCCAAAAGGAGTTTTCTGTTCAAGTTAGACAATGCACAATGCTATGTTTACTTTTGTCCCTGGGCATTACTAATGCTTTTATGAATTCCTGTACCTTAAGTGAAATCCTGGAAAGTCCCATGTACACCAGCAGTGTCAGACGCCTAAGAAAAGTAGTGGAGAAGTTGGTAGCATAGGTTTGGTGTATTGTCTCTGTAAGCACCACGTGTCTGACGGGAATGAAGTGTACCCAAAGAGTTTCACAGGTGTTCATTGAATCCACTTGTACATAATTCCAGATCTAGAACAAATGAGAAGCATGCAACACTTCACCAAGAGAAGTGTGCTCTTAAGGTGTGTGATGCAGGCCATCATGTGAAGGACCACAACAAAGTAAAAACTCTGTGATAGTTTGAAAACACATAATTTCATAAAGAAATAGTGAAAGGTTTTTGGTTTTGTTTTTTTAAGAAATACCAGAGGAGTCATGTCTGAGTAGTCTTACAACTACTTTGCACATAATGAGCTTTAGTCTTCTGTGTACTGGCACGTCTTTCCCCAGAGTGTGATCCTCTTTCACATCTGTGAAGGTGAAAGGGTTGCACTTAAAAACAGCTGGTTGTCCGGGGTTGGTTTGTTTGGGGTTTTTTTGATGTATGTGTTTTTCTTTTGAGGCCTCAGAAGGAATAGATAGCTTAAATCAGGGACAGGTGTAATACTAGGAACTTAGTCTTTTTCTTTAAGAAGATGAGGTTTCCCTCAGAAATCCTTATCTTATCCTTACAGAACCAAATTCTTCCTTTGCTGTCACTATTGTGCTCCATGAGGGGAGGGCCCAACTGAAGCAGGCTGGTTCTGCGAGGCTCACCATTGCAGGGAATTACCCTCTGCTGACAGAGACCAGGCTCTTGGGCACATCCCCAACTCATTTCTCTTTCCAGCTGACCTTGCACAAGGAGAAGGGTGCAAGTCACCAATGTGCAGTGTCAGGGCCTTAAAAAGCACCTGCTGTCCAACATGACACCAGTGATGTGTTGGTGCAACAGTTCGTAGGCAAGATGAGATGAAAACTGCTGCTCTGCTTTTGCTTATACTGAGTTAACAGTTTAGGTCTTTCTCAGAAGTCATGTGGAGTTTACAGTGGAGCTGACTAGGGGTTTTTTTTCTGTATTAAAGTCTAGTTCCTTTTGTAGCTTAGAAAAAGTGTAAATTTTTAAAATGCTCCTGATTGATACCAGCTGTGACGTAGCATAAATAGGCTGCTGGATTGGCATCTCCCAATCTATAGCTTTTTTTTTTAAGATGGGAAATTCTGAACTCTTTGAAAAGCTACTTTGCTGGTGACCTTGGGAGAGTACATTTTGAAGGGGGGTTAATTTTATGTTTCTGCATCTCCGAACATGTTGTAACTTAAATTTTGAGCCAGTTGCTCTAAAAATTGAGGGGTATAGCCCTTCCCCTTCATGCCGCATAGGTATGCTCTTGCTAAGTAGTATATCCCCAGTTTTTGTTTGTTCCTTTGCAGGCTGTGGGTTACAGTTTAATGCCCAACAACAAAGATGAAGATGGCCTTGTGGTCTTGGTCTTTAATAGAAAAGAAACAGATATTCGAAGCCAGCAGCAGCAGCTCGTAGAATCACTACACAAAATTCTGGGAGGAAACCAGACCCTCACTGTCAACGTAGAAGGTGTTAAAACGATGCCAGATGACCAGTATGTGAGCTTTATGCAGTTTTGCCTTTTTTGTCCGGTCTTGCATGTTATAAAGGGTTGGTGCTTAGTCTACTCTGTCTCCCTTTCTCCTTGATTTTAGTTCTATTTGTCCTGAGTTTGATTTAGTCTCTCTCATTTCTTCTTGCTGTTTTTTCTTAAGGTGTTTAAGTCTGGTATTTTTCCTGTGTATCTTACTTGCTTTTGCTGGAGTGCTCAGCTGAGGACCACAGTTCAGGAAATAGACTTCTCCAGACCCTCCTACTCAGCAGCAAAAGTTGGAGATGAGGATGCTAACCATGAGGGTGGGAGAAATACTTAGTATTTTAGGAGCTGTGAGGCATTCTTTGCTTGGTCCTGTGAAAAGTGGAAGGGCTTTGGGGTGTATAGCAATAGGGTCTTTACAGCTTTTTCTCTTTCTGCCTTGTTGTGTTAAACCCTAGATTACATGTGCCTTATACCTCAGTTAGCTAAAGGAAGTTAACAGTCAGCTGGGAGAAGTGGTAACTTCAATTTAGGGTTGTTCTTCATTCTCTTAGTTTCTATGTGCTGCTGACCTTTTTCTGACAGTACATGTTTTTTGTCTTCCTCAGGACAGAAGTCATCATTTACGTTGTTGAGCGCTCGCCCAATGGCACTTCGAGACGAGTTCCTGCAACAACCCTCTACGCCCACTTTGAACAAGCCAACATAAAATCATCCCTGCAGCAGCTGGGGGTCAGCCTCTCCATGGCCAGAACGGAGCTTTCCCCGGCACAAGTCAAACAGCTCCTGCAGAACCCTCCTGCCGGTATGTAGTCTGGGGCCGCGCACAGGCACGGTTGGGCCTTTACTAGGGCTTTTTGTGGTCTCTGGGAAAAACACAGCTGTTGACCCCCTGGAAAACGCCTTTTAAAGCTAGAAGAGTTTCCAAGGCACTCTGACATGCTGACGATGTGGTTTTCATTACAGCCAGCTTTCCCACTGAAGTGAAGTGTCTACCATGACAGTTACAATTTATCAGTAATATGCCATGCCACGCAGCACAGTACTAAATGATTTAGCTATCATAAATCACTTCAACTTGTCCAATTTAGAAAAAATGTCAGAATAATCATGTCCTATATTCGCTTCCTAGTTTTCTGGGGGGTTGCTTAGCCTGTATACGTATGTTACGTGGCCACAGATAGTACATATACAGCTTTGTTTTAGAGCAGTTAGGTGCTGTTTGTGCCATTTCGTAGGATAATTGTAGATTATTCTCTACATCTGTGCAGCATTGCATGAAGCACTTGCAGTGAACTCCCTGCAGTGGGTCAGGGAAAGCAGCCGGTGGTTTCCAGCAGGCAATGTGTAGCATGTTCAATAAGACCAGTGTTTAAAAACACAACAAAAGTTATATCTGGATTGCAAAAGGAACTTGGGCTACTCTTGTGGAAAAATCAGAGACAAGCAGCAGTGTTTTCCAGCTGCTGCAGCAGTGGGGAGAAGTAGTTGCTCTTTGTAATAAGCAGGTTGGCTTTTTTTAATATCAGAGGTGTATCATAAAGCCTGTGTAACAAAGTTTGGGTGCAGCTTGTTAGTCCATGACTGAGAAGGAAGCTGGAGTTTGTAGGCTGCCTGATCAAGCAGAAGGATGTACAAGAAGGTGTTAGTGCAGAGGTCTGGAGGAGCAGTCACACCCCAAGAGATGAGTTTTGGTATTAAGAGTCTGATTTGATCACCTGTTGGTTGTTCGTTCCCCATGCTTTTGGACTGAAAGTGCTGCTACAGCCCAGGACCAAGACTTCTGGAACTACTCTAATTAACCTTAGTTTGTGCAACAGTCCCTTCAGGTTAGCATAGTTCATAAGGTTTGTGTATTTCCTAGAATTTTTCCTGCTTAACAGCTATAATACGTGATATCTATTCAGACCTATCTATCCTAAAAAGTTGTGTTTTTTTTTTTTTTTAAGGTGTTGATCCTATTATATGGGAACAAGCCAAAGTTGATAATCCTGATCCTGACAAGTAAGTTTAATAGTCTGTCTGAGTATTACAAAGAGACTTGGAAAGGGGAGAAATACATTGTGTAATACCCTTCAGGTAACTTGTAAGAAACTTATTAGAGAATAACTTTGTCAAGTGCTGATCTCATTTGAAGCAGTGAGGATTACTGGAAATGCGTGTCTAATCCCTTTACCCAGTTAGGTGCTTAAGGGTTGTGAGGATAGAGAGCCTTACTTGCGTTACTTCAAGTTGTGATGTCCTCCATTAGATGGACTTATTTTTTTGCAATAATTATGTTTTTTTCCCTTTATTCCTGCAGCTGAAAGTGATGTACCCTTGTACCCTCCAGTGATTACAGATAACTTAGGCTGATTTCTTTATGAAAAAGGAACAGGTTGTTAGGAATAGTGAGGACTCTAGAACTTAGCAAAACCAGATGTGTTAATATGTTATTGTAAATTAAGATAATATAAGATCATCTGTAAATTTTATTAATCCATACCACCTGTCTAATATAAAAACGTCATAGGAAAGATTTGTGTTCTTTTAGGCTTATTCCTGTGCCAATGGTGGGTTTCAAGGAACTGTTGAGAAGATTGAAGGTCCAAGATCAGATGACCAAACAGCATCAAACTCGATTAGATGTAAGGTTTCTCACCTTTATCATGGCTGCTTGCTGTTGACGGAGCATATACTATTAAATGAGCTTCTCCTCGTGCCTTCTGTGTGTTGAGAACTGAAACTGTAACCGTGTGCATGGGGCTGTGACTCTGTCATTATTTATTAATATATTCCTTAATTACATCCTTTGGCCAAAAACTGTGCAGTGCATTTTGTCTTTCAATTTTTTCATCTTCAAGCTTGCTGTGTTGTTATAGGCTAATTCAAACCAGCTGAATTAAGTTGCATTGCCACAGACTCTAATTTGGGCACCTGGTTTTCTGATGCCTCCTGAAAATCCCAGTTGCATATGAAAATAAATAGAAACCAAAACAGTAAAGGTCTAGCAAAAAGCTTTCTGAAAGCCTCTTTGGAGAGGATGCTAGGTTTCTGGAGTGAATACTGTTTTGAAACTTTTGGTTTCAAATCAGGACTAACGTGTTCTGATACCAGAAACTCTTAACTTTGAAATGACTCAATTTTCTCTGCAGATAATATCAGAAGATATCAGTGAACTGCAGAAAAACCAAACTACAACTATGGCAAAAATTGCACAGTACAAAAGAAAACTGATGGCGCTTTCTCACAGAACGTTACAGGTAACGGGGACAGTCTAAATAACTCGTCCTGACACACAGTCTAGTGCCAGAAGGCAAACAGAGGGGGTAGGATGACCTGTGCAGTCTTGTGCATGCCCAGTGTTGAAAATTAAATTCTGACTTCATCTAAATGGTACTGCTTTAAGTAACAGGCAGGGCTGTCAGGGAAAACTTTGGGTGTGGAGCATGTCTTACTGCTTTGGGAACCTTCTCTCTTCACTTAGAAGCTGTGGGACTGCGCCAGGGTCTTGAAACAGCAGACTAAATGACAGAACAAACCTGCTGAGAGACGTGCGGGAGGAAGAGCCAAAAGACATATGGATGGGCTAGTGGGGAAAGAGAGGCAAAGTCTTCCCTAATGAACCTCAAAGGCTTCTTTTGTAGGTGTTAATAAAGCAGGAGATCCAAAGGAAAAGCGGCTATGCCATTCAAGCAGATGAAGAGCAGCTCCGTGTACAGTTAGATACAATTCAGTGTGAACTTAACGCACCTACGCAGTTCAAGGTGAGTAGTTAATGGAACTTTGCCAACATTCCTGTTTTTTCCTCACAAAAGAATGTAAGTTTTCCAAAGCATGCATATGTATTTTTTTTGTGGAAAGCCTTCGGAAGAGAAGTCCGGCAGTGTTCCTAGGTTGTGGTGTCATGCTCTGCTGCATGACTGATAGGTATTTTAGTATTTTTGAGTTCTTAAAAGTATCCAGGTTTCTTTGGGAAGACATGCAAAGGGCAAGCAAAAATTAAAAATGGAACTGAGTGGTAATGCTTCCTGCCCTGGTGACTCGAAGGCAGTCCATGCTGGAGCTCTGACTGATGCAGATGAGTTGTGTTTGATTCAAGCCTGTCTCTCTTCCCAGGGCAGACTGAATGAGCTCATGTCCCAAATCAGGATGCAAAACCACTTCGGAGCAGTACGGGCTGGAGAGCGCTATTACGTAGATGGAGACCTCTTAAGGGAAATCAAGCAAGTAAGTATTACCGGGTAGAATCCTGGGATACTGTTTGAATGTCATAGTTTAAGCCAGCTACACACTAACTTGGGATATATCTAGAATGTCATATTTTTGTAATTATTTGATGATGAAGTCCTTTTTATTGTTCTCAGTGATAGTCTATCACAATTGTACAAAGCCACTCTCTGCAGTTAAGCTATTAGTGCAGAAAATGCTGGCTTTTTTTCTTCTAAATAAACTATGCCAGGCTTTTCCATGTCCCAAGGCCACCAGGCATGACACTTTTCAGAAATCCTACTTAAAATCTGTCAAGTTGAGCTAGACTCATGCTGGTTTTTACTATCTGCAGCATCTGAAGCAGCAGCAAGAAGGCCTAAGTCACCTGATTAGCATTATAAAAGATGACTTGGAGGACATCAAACTTATAGAACATGGGCTGAACGAGAGCATCCCCATCAGAGGAGGAGTCTTCAGTTGACGTGGTGGATGCTGCTGAGCTTACACAGAACATGTTACTCAAGTTCACCTTCCAAGGCCAAAACTGGTGAGGTAAAATAAAACACATACCTTTAGAATTAGCAAAGCCTCTTCTAAGCTTTTGAACTTGACCTTTGGAAGGTTTATATTTTTTTGAAGCTGTATATGCTTTAATAAAAGGAGGAAAACTGAATCTGTTCAGATACTCTTTACTATAAAACTATATGTACTATTGTACATTTTTTCTTTTTTCTTTTTTTTTTTTTTTTACAACAGTATTGTCTTAGAAACACAGTGCTGAGGGAATTGTTCCACTTGTGACTTGGTTTGTGGAAAGCTTAGCCCGCTTCTGTGTTTTTGTCAAAACAATCAAGTAACATGATGTAAACAGCTAAGTTAAATCATTACAGATGTGTATGTTGCTGTAACTATGTCAGTCTCTGCAATATCCGTAGTTTACTTGGGCAGGCTGCAGGAGGTTGGTGTTTTCCAGTTTCTCCTTCCTTTAGACTGCAAGGAGCTGAAGGTAATGTTTTTGCCACTTTATGTACGTGAGTTATACAAAGCTTTGCTGCCTCTCAAATAACAACAGAATATGTAGATGTTGTCTTCTGCCTTTTTTTTTAATTGCTGGAGAGTAATAAATTCAATCTGACTTTGTAATAACTTGTGCATGGTATTGGCTCTTTCTCAGCTACATCAGCAAAGCCGTGAAACTGTGAACAACTCCAGGTTAATGCACTTTACCCTCCTCCAGGCCCCCCCAGCTGCTTGGCAGCCTCAGCCCCCAAACTAAAATAAAGGTCAAGTCTCTTAGATCCTACCTGGTGCCACATAGTGCAGAGCAGATGGCTACTACATGTACAAGAGACAGAGCTTTTATTTTTTTCCCCAGAGTTTCCCTTTTTTCCTTATTATAAAGGTCACTGGAAATAACGGAAACAAAAATACATTATTCTGTGCAGTAGGAGTTTGTACAGCAGAAAGAACTCAAACACAGTAGTGAAAAAATCAGTTTGTTCATGAGCCACAAAAAAAAAATCCATTCATAAAATTTGAAATGTAGAAAGATAAAAATACACCCTCAGTAGCTTTCTTTAAAAAGCCCCTATTAGAGCCTGTATTGGGCATGTGAGAGAGTTTATTTTTGGAAGCATGGTTCCATTACAGATGAAGAAAGCGTATGTGGAACTATAAGAGGGAAAAGGATGAGTTTATTTTTGGAAGCATGGTTCCAATTAATATCTCAAATGTGCAATACAGGCTCTAGCAGGGGCTCTTCTAAGAAATTGAATGAGGCTAGAATTTTCTCTTTTCAGGGCCAGGGTAGCAGTCTAAGTGAAGTCTTCTACCACGGTGCCCCTGCTAGAGTGCTTTGAGGTAAATAGGTTGTTGTTTTCTTTGCAAACACTTCAGATCCAACAAAACCCCCCTTTTTTAAACTGCAATCGTACCATAATTTGAAAGTATCTGGAAGATGCAGCATAGGCACTGTAGCAGGGGGCTACTTAATCTTGAACTGTGGCCTTTGAAAAAGAACTGGTGTCAATAGATATCTTAAAAAGCTCCCTGCTAGAGAGAGTTTTGCATGTCTGAGAAGATAAGGGGTTTTCTAAAATGTTGCTCCACTGCACATATTTAGCAGCTTCAAACTTGCAGAATAAACTTATCACAGCAAAGGAACAACAGAGGGGAAGGTAGGTATTATCCCTGAAACAGCAATGTTGCTAAGAGTTGACAAATTAGAGAAGGCATGAACAGTGCAAACCAGCAAAAAAACTGTTTATTAAAAGGAAAGCTGTGCTCTGGCAGTTGCTACCTGGCTAAAACACTGCCTAGAAGAAATACCTTTACTTCCGTTTTACTACACATGAATAGACCTGTAACATTTCATCACATGCATTGACAAGAGAAACTGGGTTGTGTCTTCCCTTTGAGCAGGAATTTCTACTTTAAACATAGCTCCTTTTTAAAAATGCTCAGGATTGAAGTGTAGCTTTTCTATTCTTGCCTTCCCAAAATGGAACACAGCTGTTGGCTACTGTTTTCAACCAAGTAGTGCTACAGGTACCTGCCTTCCCTTTCCCTGCTTCACATCTGCAGGCGTGCTCTGCGCTTAGGTCGGAAGCGGTCCCCCTGGCTTTGCAGGCAGTCAAGGCATTCAATGTGGCAACCGCCACTGGGTTCTCACTACTGTGACTGTTTGACAAGGCGAAAGGCTTCCAGGAACTCGTTGAAGTCGATGTTTCCATCCTTGTTGAAATCAATGCTGCGAACTAAGTCGTTGATGCCGTCATCCGTGAGTTCGATGTTCATGTGGGAGCTGAACAGCTTCCAGGTTTGGTGGAATTCCTCAAATGAGATGAGACCTGTGGAGAAGGAAGGCACAGGACACCTCAGCGCAAGGTCACCACAGGCACTGCTGCCAGTCAGTCCCCGCTCAGCGTGCAAGGAGGGACCCCTGCTCAGGTTCGACCTCTCGTCCCACCCCTGCTGTCTGCATACCCTAAAGGAAGCAAAGGAATTACTCATCATCTATCCTTTTCATGCTGCAAATAAATTCCCTGATGCAGAGAGCACCAGCTAAAAAAAAAAGCAGTAAAGAGACTTAATACAATTTGGGAGAACAAAAGAAGGCAAAGACTGTTGTATTTCCTCTTGGCTGAAGTAATTTGGTGGAGATGACTGCTTGAAAGGCAGTAACCCTCAAGATCCCAAGTATGGTCTCATCACAATTTTTATTCTGATGAATAATTGTTAATTCTCTGCCTGGACTGCACACTTTCCTTTGGAATGCCTCGTGTTTGTGGAAACATCCAAGGACATTTCAGAAGCTCCTGAGGCAATAACCCTGACTGAGGGAGGAGAAAAACCCAAACCATTAAATAAAAATGCCTTTGTACATACTAAAGAGAGCCCAAAAGTAGAATGGAATACGGTGCAGTGACCAACACCCTCTGCACCTCTGCTTACCTGAATGATCTCTGTCTATGATCCTGAATATGGTCTCCAAGTTGGATCTGTTCCGATAAATGACTTCCAGCAAGCTCGACTGGATGTGCTGAAAGACAACATGGTCACACTCTTAACCGTTTCTGACAGCTCTCTGCTTTCTCTGAATAGTTACTGCAGACCTTCCCATGAATAAAAATGTTTACTTCTCTCAAGAATCTGCCAGCAGTACGCTTTGTTGTGTGTGCCTTATGAAAGTTTTGTGGTGACTGGACCCTCTGTGCAACTCTGTTATAGCACAACAGCAACCTGTCCCTTCCAAACAGACAGCTTTTCCTAACTGTGAAGACAGTGATTTGGGCTACATTTTTTAACTGCTGGAGAGTTGGTTTTGCTGAGACTCAGAGAATGGAGTATAGTTTTATGACCCAAAAGCCTGCATCCAAAGCTATCTCTAGGTTTTGATTTCACATGCATTTATTTCTACAATGGACTGAACTCTGGATTACTCAAACTCCTGCAGGCTTTTCCATCAACTTCAGTATGATTTTGGATTACATAAGGAACCATCCACTCTCCTACCATACTTGGTCGCATGTGCTGGGGATCTTGTGAGCTGCCTCGCATCATGCTTTAACAGAAAGGAGCGAGTTCTTACCTCTTGGCTCCGCTGCTCCATGGCCAAGTCGTTGAGCCAGGACTTGTACTCCAGCATGCCGTCCGCAGTGCTGCGCACCAGCTGTGGTCTCAGCATTCGCCAGGGCAATCCCAGGTGCAAGACTGACTCCACTGCCGTTGCCCAGTTGCTCAGTGTGATCCTTCCTGCAAGGAAAAGGAAGAGCCGTGGAGACCTCTGAGAGATGGGCAGCTGAAAGCACATGAAGACAGCAGGCACGTGCTTGTTTCAATGCCACCGCCTGCTATACCACTGTCCCCTTCAGCTGCTGTACAGGTCCAAGCCCGAAGCCATCTCCAGGAGATCCTTCACACCAAGCTGCAGCACAGCTGCCCACCAAACCAAAATCCATGTGCCCAGCTCCCTCTTTAGGCAGTCAGTTGATGGGACAGGAACACAGGAAACACATCGGATGCTGTTCGCTGTCACCACCTAGAACAGTATGCATACACAAGCTACCATGCTGCTGACAGCAACAGCGTCATTTCTCCATGGCACACTTGAGTGCTTTGATACAGTAAAAAACTCTACATGGCCGTACAGATGTCAGCCTCCAGCAGGCCTAAGTGCACTTACTGCTCTCCCCTGCCTCAGCAAGCTTTTGATCGTTGCAACGAATCAGGGCCACAGGGCTGCAAGCCTCTGAACACCAGGAAGGCACTAACTTTGGACATTTTATTATATAGTTATGGCCTCCAGCCAGGCTCACCCTGCAGATCATGGCCTGCACAACTGCACTAGTACTTCCTCAGTGACCCAGGAACATGGAAAAGCCCCTAGTTTAGCAGCTGCTGTAACAGCTGAACTGGACTTTCGTGAATGCTGCCCAGGAAGAGAGAGATACCCCCAAGAAAGCAGTTCTGCCAACAGCTGTGTTCCCCTCCCCAAATAGACAGATCTCAGCAACGAGTCTTGGTTGCTGCACCTGCAGAGCACTCCTGGCAGCCATAGAATTGTGAATTTGCAGCTCCCTCCTTAATGCTCTGACAGAGGCAGCTGCCACAGGATATCCCTCACTTTTCCCAGTGATTTTAGAGTCTTGGGCTGAAGGGGCTCTAGAGACCACCCATCCCTTCCCAAGTGACAGGCATGTTCCAGGTCACCTTTTCCAATGCTTCGTCAATACTCCTGTTCCAAAGGGCTCTCCTACTGCCAAGTCTAAATTGCTATAGCTTAGGCTAATCACTCTTGCTTCTCCCACACTCCCTCATCATAATGCAACTCCGATGCATTAACAGGTTCCCAACAGAGACACTGAATAGCAGTAAATGGGACCAACGCTGTGGCAAGGTCTGACAGCCTCCTCCTGTGACAGTCACTGACAGCTATCAGCGAGGAGTCTCCCAACTGGCTGTGCACCCAACTTGGCCTCTTCACAACCCTGTACCCACCAGGGAATTAACTTGAGTTTCTGGGCTCAGATTTACCTGTATTGTCCTTATCATAGGCCTTGAACGCGCTGATGA